AGGATAGGGCTGCCCTGGCTGTTTGGTGGGGAGAGAAGGAGGAAAGAGACTTGAGCTCTGATTTAAAGTTGGAACATGTTAAATTTCATATGCCTTGTTCTAGGGGCTGGTGACTCACATCTGTACTCCTAGCTGCTCAGGAGGCTGAGATCTGAGGGTTGAGGTTCGAAGGAAAGTCCAAGAGGCTTTTATCTCCAGTCAACTAGCAAAAATCCAGAAGTGGAGCCATGTCTCAAGTGATAGATCTCTAGCCTTGAGTGAAAAAGCCAAGTGAAAGCAAGAGGCACTGAGTTGAAGCCTCCGTATCAACACATACACACACACACACACACACACACACACACACACACAGAGGCATGTACACACACAAATTTATATACCTTGTAGCCTCAACGTAGGATCTGTCCAGTAAGCAATATCAGTCTGGAACAGACAATCAGGGTTTGATCTATAATATAAATTGAGTGGTCTGTTAGGGGATGATTAGTAGTTTGAAACCTGCAGACAGTGCATAATTGTAGATGAAGTAGAGGGATGGGGCCCTTAGCTCCAAACACTGGGAAAGATTTTTATCTAAAGGAAATGTAAATTTCTAAAGCCCACCAGCTCCAGCTAAGAGAAACCTTGGTGGTCAAGGAAAAGCCTACAAATAACATCATGGCATGCACGGCCAGGAGAAGAGGTTGGAAGAGATTGGTAAGTAGTATCAAACATTACAGAGATGATGAGAAATGAAAAATAAACTTCCTGGCAAAGATACTATTAGAAACCTTGTTTAGGACAGTTTCTGTTTAGCACTAAAGGTTGATGTCAGAGTAAATTAGGTCATTTTTTAATTATAAATTGAAACAGGAAAAAGAATGCTATTCTCAAAATGCTTGACTATATTACCAGTAATGTCGATAATTTTATATGAAAACATGCTTATAATATTAATTGTATAAATAGGTTATTAAATAGTATATAGCATAATTTTACTTATTCCAGTTATCTATTACTACATAAAAAGCCACCACAGTTGAATATGATAGTGTATGCTGCAGTCCCAGCTATTTAGGAGGCAAAAATATGAGGCTTTCAGTCCAAAGGCAGTCCAGGCAATAGCATAAGATCCTACCTAAAAGCAAAGTAAGGGGCTGGGAAGTTGGCTCAGTGGTAGAGCGCTTGCCTTGCATGCCTGAAGCCCTGGGTTCGATTCCTCAGCACCACATAAGCAAAAAGAAAAAAGCTGGAAGTGGTGCTGTGGCTCAAGTGGTAGGGCACTAGCCTTGAGCTGAAGAGCTGAGGGACAGTGCTCAGACCCAGAGTTCAGGCCCCACAACCGGACCAGAAAAAAAATAAAAGCAAAGTAAAATTGCACAAAGGAATATAGTCTTGGCTCAAGTGGTAGAGAGCACTTGCCTAGCAAATGTGAAGCCGGGAGTTCAGGCCCCAATACTGCCTTCCCTTCCAAAAATGCAATGGCATAAAATAACGTCTTATTAACTCCACAGGTTATCTGGATTTAGTGTGTTAGCTTTTACATTTATTTTAACTTTAAAAAAAAATTCTTGTTGTGGGCTGGGAAGGTAGCTCAGTGGTAGAGTGCTTGCCTTGCATGCCTGAGGCCCTGGGTTCGATTCCTCAGCACCACATAAGCAGGAAAAAAAAAGCCAGAAGTGGCTCTGTGGCTCAAGTGGTAGAGCGCTAGCCTTGAGCTGAAGAGCTGAGGGACCGTGCCCAGGCCCAGAGTTCAGGCCCCACGACTGGACCCAAAAAAAAAAATTATTGTTGTAAGTATGTGCTAAGGTAACTAAACTGGGTGATTTTATTTTAATTTTTTGGTGCTGGTACTGGGGTTTGAACAACCCAGGGCTCCCTGAGTTGCTTGAGACTAGAATTCTACCACTTGAATCACAGCTCCAATTCTGGCTTTTTGCTGATTAATTAAAGATAAGAGTCTCTTGGACTCTCCAGCTTGGGATAGCTTCAACCCTCGAATTCTAGCCTCCTGAATTTCTAGGATTACAAGCATGAGCCACCAGCACCTGGCTGAAACTGGGTGATTGTTGATGAGTATATCTTGCAGAATTGTACTCACATAGTGGAATCATGGGGATTCTTTCATGTTTTTCCCTTTGCTTATGTGTATTTTCTTAGCTGCCTGTGTGAAACACACTTATTGCATTGACATTAAGAAAAAACTGCTATAGCTGTTTGTAATTTAGCTATAGAAGGTAGTCTAGAAGGAAAGGGGAAAGTAAAGACTTCCCCCAGAAAGCAACAATAGCTGAAAGAAGAATTCTTTTGGAGGAAGTTTAAGGAGGGAGGGAGTTCAGCAGATTTGGAAACAAACTGAACTCCTGTGCTGACATAATTTAAGAAATACTCAGTGACATTTATGTAATATTCCTGCCTTTGCCCCCATAAATGTAATTTAAAAATGTCTTAAAATGATTATCATATAGAAACAATTAGATTAATAGAAATTGAGATACTCTCTGCAAAGTGATCCAAATAATTGAAAATGTCAATAGGGCAGGGGTTGTAGCTCCATGGTAAAGTACTTACCTAGTATGCAGGAGGCACTAGGTTTGATTCCAACAGTGGAAAACCAAAGGGAAAACAGAAGGGAGGGAGGAAGGAAGGGAATAATCCAACTTTTTTTGTTTGTTTGGTTGGTTGTGGGGCTTGAACTCAGGGTCTGGATACTGTCCCTGAGCTATTTCACTCAAGGCCAGCACCCTACCACCTTGAGCCACAGCACCACTTCTGGTTTTCTTTCTGGTGGCTAATTGGAGATAAGAGTCTCACAGGGACCTTTCTACCTGGGCTGTTCAGATCTCAGCCTCCTGGGATTACAGGCGCGAAGCACAAGCACCCAGCGATTCCAACTTTAAGAAGAACAAAGCATTCCCAGGCACTGATGGTCATGCCTGTAATTCTAGCTACTCAGAAGTCTGAGATCTGAAGATCATGGTTCAAAGCCAGCTCAAGCAGATATATCCAAGAGACTTTTATATCTAAAAACACCAAAAAGCTGGAAATGAATGTGTAACTCAAGAGGTAGAGTACCAGACTTAAGTGAAAAGCCAAGCAAAAGCATGAGGTTCTCAGTTTAAGCCCCAGTACCATCACCATAAAAAAAAAAAATCAACCCTACAAGTGTATGATCCTGTACTGGTTCCTATATTGGAGGGGGACAATTTTAAGGAACATTATTTGAGCATTTGGGGAGGGGGATTTATATTTGCTAGTAATGGTATTCTGTCATCAATATTAAATGTTATTAGGCAGAAGAATATATTATCCTTGTTTCTGAAGTGTCAAAGAACAAAATTTCTTTGTTTTTCTTTTCTTCTCCTACTGGGGCTTGTTGGCTTAAACTCAGAGTCTTGCTTTCCCATTTAGCTTTGTCACTCACAACTGGAGCTCTACCACTTGAGTCACACCTCCACTTCCAGTTTTTATTGTTTATTGGAGATAAGAGTCTCTTGGATTGTCTGCCTGGTCTGGCTTTGAACCATGAGCCTCAGATTTCAGCTTCCAGAGCTGAGCCTCACATTCCACAGTCTCTGCATGTGACTGGAACACAGAACCCTTTTCCCCCTAGCCTGCTCTCCCTTATTGTGTGCCTTTTGGTACTTCACTATACTTCAAGTCTGACATATAAACTTTTAACAAGGAATTCATTTGCTGGGGAATATGTGGTAAGAACCTGAAGCACTGGTTTGCAGGAGGAATAAATTTGCCTGGCACTGACAAAACTCATTATAACTACATTTCACTTCCCATAAGAACAATCATACTTTGTACAAAGAAATTAGAAGATAAGAAAGGTGAAAGAACACCAAGGTGTGACCTTAAGGTTGTTGACAAGGGAAAATCGAATGTTTTGATGATTTACTATGTATAGAGTGCGTTAACTTTTTGTGATATAGTAATTGTTGTCTTTATCTTTCGGAGAAGGGATCTGCACCCATGCAGGTGGTTTGAACCTAGATCAGACACAAAACCACATTATTTCTCAAAATGCCACGTTGTCTGGGAGTAGAAGCATCTTTCCTGAAAACAGTTTTCCCAGAACTGGTGCAGACTATAAATGCCTACAGCCAAGCTTCAACAGATTTCCTTGTTTCCATCTGAAACCTAGGAAGAAAACAAAATATTGACTTATTGAAGCAGGACCAAAAGATAAATTGTTTTTGCCTAGACAGCACTTTGAAATAGGGGGCAATTCCATCACCTTTATGCTTGCTTTTCGATTTTATTTATTTAATTATTAATTTATTTACAGTGTAAGTCCTGGGCTCTGTCCCTGAGCTGCATTTGCTCTTATTGCTCTACCACTTGAACCACAGTTCCACTTCTGGCTTTTTTTTTTTTTAAGTTTAATGGAGATAAAGAGCCTCAGACTTTCCTGAGGATCAATCCACGATCCTCAGATCTCAGCCTCCTGAGTATCAACATTACAGGCGTGAGCCACCAGCGCCCAGCTGCTTTTCTACTTTTGAAGACAGATGATCTTGTACTCCATAAAGGGAGAAAATGATCACGGTGGGGGAAAAAGAACAGCTGGAAATTATGGAAAATAATTTCAAAAACTACATTGGAGTTATGCTGCAATTCAAAGAAATGAGTGCCCAGAGAGAGACGGAGGTCTCCGAGGTGCGGCACAGAGCTCAGAAGTCCAATACGCAGGGCTACACAGACTGGTATTATTGCGGATGACCGATACTGTACTTCCTCGGTAGGCCTGGACCACGCCCACACAAGCCAGCAAGGCCAAGTGGCAGCTGCGCGCCCAGGCTAGATGGAACCAGGCTCCGCCCCCACCCTCCCAGGCTCCGCCCCCACCCTCCCAGGCCCCGCCCCAATGCGGCCCGCCCAGCCACGCAGGGGCCTGGGGCTCTAGGCGGAAGTCCAGCCTGCTCCAGGTAGGAACTTTGTTTCTTCCCTCCGATGCTTTTCTTGGAGGGCTGGTATAGCAAGCACATACTTCCGGGTTGAAAGGTTTTGCTTCCGGAGAGCGGGAAGGCTGAAACGCGGTGGTAAAGCTGGAGCCAGACTAGCGAGCTTCTAGGTGGCGAAGGTCCTAGCCATGGACAGGTAAGACCCGATGGTGACCGCAGGGGCGCGCCCGAGGCTGCGTGCTTCTTGCCTGTTGGCGGAACTAAGTTGATGAAGGCCTGTTTCCAAAGGAAGCCGAGGAGAAGGTCCTGGAGAGCGCCTGTAGGACTTCTTTCCTTGGGCCTGCAGTTGGCAAACTCTCGGAGGAAAGGCCGGGACGTGGGGGACGCGGGCGGGGGCCGGGGCCGGGGTGGTGGTGACCTGTCGCTCCCACTTGTAACTGCAGTCTGGCGGATGCTGGGGCCAACGTTGTACCTCCCAGAGGTGGGCGGGGTAGGCGGTGAGCAGCGGAATGCATGCTCGCCGCGTATAGTAGTGAAGCTCACTATGATCTGGCCAGACTGTTGTTTTTTTTTAAATTAGATGTGCTAATAGCAGATAACTAAATCATGATTATGCTAGCCACCTGAATTATTCAGGGTTCTTGCTTCGGGAAATGCATTTTATAGTGGAGGAGCCAAACAGTGTAAAGCTGGAAGTGCTAAGTACTCACTGCGGGGAAAGAAGTGAAGCTGGCAAGGCTCTCCTTGTCGCAAGAAGTTTCAGGATCACCTGTCAGACAAGGTGACTTTCTAAGCTGGTTTTTGAGTAGTAATAATAATAATAGTAGTAGTACATAATTAATATTCAAACCATTGGAATGCCTTACTAAGATACCTTACTTAAAAAGGTACATTCATCTTCTTTTCATAGATAAATAATAGACAAAAGTAAGGAGGCTAATAAACAGAAAAACCAAGTTGCCAACTTGAAGCTGTGTATCTGCAGCCTCCATAAGGCTGGTTGATGAGTAAGTAGGTATTCACCATTGGACACAGAAGCAAATACACACATGTATGCATTCACAAATGTAAGATATGAAAAGTGTGCATATGAAAAGTCTGATATATATGTATATGGAGTCACATTTGAGGCTGAATACAGAGCTGAAGCTGTGATGTAGAGTGGCATTGTTAGATTGCTAGCAAATAGGAATTTGCATGTGTAGGCCGGAGAGAGTGATCTTAGGATTTCAAGGGATATCATATTCAGTTCTTGTTTGAAAACACATTTTAGGGGCTGGGAAAGTAGCTCAGCGGTAGAGTGCTTGCCCCACATGCATGAGGCCCTCATTTCCTAGCACCACATAAACAGACTCTTTTTTTTTTTTTGGGGTCCGGTCGTGGGGCCTGAACTCTGGGCCTGAGTGCTGTCCCTCAGCTCTTCAGCACTCTACCACTTGAGCCACAGTGCCACTTCCGGTTTTTTCCTTTTTGCTTATGTGGTGCTGAGGAATCGAACCCAGGGCCTCAGGCATGCAAGGCAAGCGCTCTACCACTGAGCCAACTTCCCAGCCCAGCACCACATAAACAGAAAAAGCCAGAAGTGGTGCTGTGGCTCAGGTGGTAGATCGCTAGACTTGAGCTGAAGAGCTGAGGGAAGGCCTAGCGTTAAAGCCCCACGATAGACAAAACAACAACAACAACAACAACAAAAAACCCGTATATTTTAGTTCATATGGTTTAGTTTGTAGACCCTTGGGTAAAAATGGAGATCTGGAGTATTGTAACTTCCCCAGTGGTAGGACAAGGGACACCCTAATGTACCTTGAAGGATTGTTAAATTTACTGGAGGTCTTTATTTACACTCTCATGTCACTGAATCAGTTTTTTGGTTTCTTGATTTCAGATGTCACAGTTAATGATTTTACTACTGTGCTTCAAATGTACATTGGACATATGATCAGAAAATATGCCACAATAATTAACAATCCATTGAGATTATACTTTTCATACCAATGTCTTCTTTGGCTCTTTAGATATTAAGCACATTTTTAAATTGAAGTGGGGAGGGGGAAATCACTTCATTTTTTAAAAAAGCTGAGCACTGATGTCTCCAAACCTGTAATCCTAGCTATTCAGGATGCTGAGATCTGAGGATCATGGTTTGAAGGCAGCTGATTAGGAAGAGATTATTGTCTACAGTTAACCAGGAAAAGCCACAAGTAGAGTTATAGCTCAAGTGGTAGGCCACTAACATTGTGTAAAAAGTTAAAACCTCTAAGTAAGCAAAAGTCTCTTACATTTGGTTCACTTTTCTTCTGAGTTTTGAAATACAGTAGAACAAAAACAGCATCATGTATGCTACAAAGTCAAGGAAGGCTGTGATATATGAGACTGAATAATAAGCAGCTATTGGAACTAGGATGGCATTCTTGACGAATATCTCCAAGACTTGGTCTGTTGGTATAACTGTATTTTGACTGACCCAGAGCCTTTGTTTCCAATCATGATGATAAAGTTCTTTGCAAATGTTACATAAAACAGCTTAGTAGCTGGGCGCTGGTGGCTCACGCCTGTAATCCTAGCTACTCAGGAGGCTGAGATCTGAGGATGGCGGTTCAAAGCCAGCCCGGGCAGGAGAGACCATGAGACTCCTATCTCCAATAACCACCAGAAAAACCGAAAGTGGCGCTGTAGCTCAAGTGGTAGAGCGCTCGCCTTGAGCTGAAGAGCTGAGGGACAGCGACCAGGCCCAGAGTTCAAGCCCCATGGCCGACCAAAAAAAAAACAAAAACAAACCAGCTTAGTAATATTGTTCTAGGAGCGGCTTCGGAGAGATGTCATCCCCTGTGATCCGGGAGGCGGAGGTGACACGGACGGCACGAAAGCAGAGTGCTCATAAAAGAGTTTTAAGTATCCTTGCATTTTTAAAAACTTTTTTAAAAAATTTATTTTCTTTAATTAGTTGTACAAAGAAGTTTCCATTCTACAAAACAGTATATGAATACAAGGTGTCTGACAACATTGTCACCCATCACTCCTAACCCATCCCTTCTCTCACTTTTTTTTTTTTAATTGAGATTAGGTGATTACATAAATTTCACATGTTTCACAGTATTGTGGAATAGTGATACTTAGTTACAGTGACAAACACATTTTAACCTTCACAAGGCAACTTGTCATTATCATGGTCTATAAAGTGTGAATTCTATGAGCTTTGACAATACAATTATTTCTTCCACATCAGGTGATGTTTACATTTCTTTCCTTTTGCTTAGTGTAAGCTGTTCCCACTTTCCCTCCCATTCCTCCCTTCCTATTGCTGTCTTTGGGTTGCTTAGTTCATTTTCATCTATATCCAGCGCAGCTGATGGGCCCCTTTGTTGTATGTTTTCCCGTTTCCCACTGATTCTGTGTCTTCCTCCTAGCTTCCCTCTGTTGCACGCTTATATATATATGTACACACACACACGCGCACACACCATATATGTGGTCAAGAACATGGAGTCATTTAGCAATGATACAACAAAATGAGTGGCAGTCCTTTGTTTCTCAAGTCCTGTTTACTTTGTCATAGTTCCTTGCATTTTGGCTTTAGCGTCCACATATCAGGGAGACCATGTGCCATTTGTCTTTGCTCTTGGCTTACCTCACTCAAAATGATTTGCTCTAGTTCCATCCATTTCCCTGCAAATGCCATTATTTTGTCCATTCTAATGGCTGCATAATATTCCATTGTACATAGGTACCACAATTTTTGGTACCACATCCACTCATCAGTACTGGGGCCTCTGGGTTGTTTCCATATCTTGGCTATTGTGAACAGTGCTGCAATGAACATGGAGGTGCATGTGTCCTTGTATCCTGGTTCCTGTTGCTCAGGGTAGATGCCTAGGAGTGGTATGGCTGGGTCATAGGGGAGGTCTGTATTTAGCTTCTGAGATACCTCCAGACTGCTTTCCAAAGTGGTTGTATTAGTGTACATTCCCAGCAGCAATGCAGTAGGGTTCCTCTTTCTCCACATCCTCTCCAGCATTTGTCATTGGCTGAATTTAGGATGTGGGCCATTCTAACTGGGGTAAGGTGGTATCTCAGTGTTGTTTTTCTTTGCATTGCCTTTACAGCCAGGGATGAGTATCCTTGCATTTTAAGATTCACAAGTTTTCAGCATGCTTTGAATTGGTCTTCTTTTTATTAGATATTAAAAATTAGCTATGATAATATTGTAGAAATTGATTTTGTGTACTCCACAGATGATTTTTTTTGATAAATATAATGTTCTAAATGAAATATAGTGAGGTTAAGATACATTGCTCTGAAAGACAGACATTGTATTTTACAGATTCTATTTTATGTGTACTAAGATTAATCTATATTTTAAAAATTTGAAATCTGATAGAGAACTCTTATGTCAATGTATAGCTATCTAAAACTGACATCTGAAAACCTTAATAATAGAGAGAATTAATTAATTGCTCTTTGCCATAAAATACCTTGCTCTCAAAAAATGTTTTCACATAATTTGTATTAAAATTAGAGCTTATTCCAACTTTAGCAATCTCTTCTCTGTGTGAAAAACTTTTCTTAACTCTTTCTAAAGTTCGAGCTTCCCAAGATGAAAATTTTGGTAATATTACACCAAGAAGCCAGATCATTCCTCGAACTCCCAGCTCATTTCGACAGCCTTGTAAGGTTTCTTTTATTTTCTTTTTTTTGCTTTGATAACATTTAATAATAATAGTTATAATACCAGCTAACTTTTACTATGTACATAATAAATATTTGGTTACAGTATTAAAAGCTTTGTTCAGTGCTGTGAACAAAGCACTGTACATCACATAAATATATAGTGATCGTGACATAAGCGTCGTTATCTCTATTTTACCAAAACCAGAAGTGAGACTTGAGGAGTTGAAAGTCAGTAGAGGTAATAAGCTCCATTATCTAAATAATGGAACTAAGATTCAAAGAATAGTCTTGACTATAGTACAAGCCTGCCATACTGCACGGCCACAGTATGCTTTACAGAACTAGAGTTTGGATGAAGGACCATTAACCTCTATATAATGAAACCTGTTTGTAGTAAAACTTTTCATAATAGACTCAGTAAAACCAAAAGTTCAAATTTAGGAAAATAAATTAACTCTTCATATTAAGGAAATGTTATCATTTAGAATATCTATTTATTAAGAATATAAGTAATTGGCTGGGTGCAAGCGGCTCACACCTGTAATCCTAGCTACTCAGGAGGCTGAGATCTGAGGATTGCGCTTGAAAGCCATCCTGGACAGGAAAGTCCGTGAGAATCTTATCTCCAATAAACCACGCAGAAAACCAGAAGTAGTGCTGTGGCTCAAGTGGTAGAGCGCTATAGCCTTGAGCTGAAGAACTCAGCCCAGGCCCAGAGTTCAAGCCCCATGACCAAAAAAAAAAAAAGACTATAAATAATTGAAAAGTAAGTATTGCTTTGTTTTGATGAATAATGTTTACATACCTGTTTTTTTGTTTTTTGTTGTTCTTGTTTTTTAACGACTCATTTGTAGCTACTCCACTGAACCGAAGCTTACAACGACATCCAGACATTTCCTGCATTCTTGGAACAGGAGGAAGGTCTCCCCGGCTTACACAGTCTTCTGGGTTCTTGGGCAATCTGTCCATGGTATGTATAACATTAGAGCTAAAACTTTCTCCTTTTTGATATTTTGTCTAAAACTCTTGTAATGAAAATTGATATCATAAAAGTAACCAGAACTGGGTGCTGGTGACTTATGCCTATAATCTTAGCTACTCAGGAGATTGAGATCTGACAATTGTGGTTTGAAGCCAGCCCAGGCAGGAAAGTCCATGAGACCTCTTATTGCCAATTAAGTGCATCATCCCCCCCCCTCGCCAAAAAAAAAATAAAGCCAGTGGAGCTGTGGCTCAAGTGGTAGAACACCATCCTTGAGCAAAAAAGCCCAGGGACAGTACTCAGGCCCTTAATTCAAGCTCTAGGACTGGCACACAAAAAAAGAAACTAGGTTGTATGGACTGACATAATTGAGTATATATTTGGAAAATTGAAAGCTTTAAGTATCTCTTGCCATGGGCAAAACTGTGAGCAGTTTGGATACAGGGAAAATGTTCTATTCTGCCAGTTTGCTGACCAGATGAAATACACTCAGGAATTGTTTGGTGATAGCTATAAACATAAAGCTGATAGCTTTGAAACACAAAAAGTAGAAGAATATCACAGATAGATGATAGATGAAGAGTATCATAAGGAAGAGAGACACTGTATCTAGGGGATGTCATGGTCAATAGCATCAGAACTGAATTGGTTAAAGTACACTTGTCTGTGTCTGCTACTGAATAGATTACTTGCTTGTGGAGGAAAACCACAAATACATTTGGTCACAGGTGATATATGTTGTCATAGTATAGAAGGAGAATTTGACTGAATTTGGGTTTCTTACTCAAAAGAAATTTTTGGGAAACATAGATGACATGTTTTTTATGGTATAGTATTAAAAAGCACAGAAAGAATGTAAAACTGTAATTCCAAATGGCTTTGCCTAGGTATTTAAAATATCCCAATAGAAAAATAAAGTATTGCATCTGAGAAGGAAGCAGAAGAGTTTTTTAACAGTTGTAGAGTATTATGACACGTTTAGTTCTGAATCAAAAGTAGTTCTCTTGACTTTGGCATTGTGCTTTCTTATGTAAGCACAGAGATTTTTATGCATACATGAAATTGTCTAAAGTACTTTCTGAAGGGTGGATTTGCCTGTTAAACATTTCTTTTTTTTTTTTT